TAAGGGCGTAGACACCTGAGGAGAAAAAGTACTAAATTAGGGTTTATAAGTCTTAAACTACCTCATCTAAAAAATTAAAAAGTTTAATGCGAGTTTTGACACAGCCTCTCACATGTGCAATTTTCATAAATAGATGGCATCGAGACGATCTTTATGTACTCTGATCCAAGTTAAATTATTTGAATTTAGACCTCAATGGAAAGTTCGAAAAACTATACATAACCAAAATTTCTTTTTGTAATTCAGGGATAATTTCATATTGCTTCAAGCTATTGTGGCTGCCTTGGTCTTGCAAATGTTGCCAGTCCTTGACACTCTTCCTGTATGGAATCTAAAGGGCATTATAGCCATAATATTACTTCATACAGCAGTTTCTGAGCCCCTCTATTATTTCATTCATAAATGGTTTCATCGAGACTATCTTTTCAACCATTACCATTCATTGCACCATTCATCAGCTGTACCACAGCCTATTACTGGTAAGCCAATTAAATGTAATTTGTACTTCAGAATTTTAACTTTCTAACAACCATATATAATGTTACTGTAGTCACGAGCATATTAGGCACGCTGTATTAGACAAGACAATATAACATTAAAAAAAAAAATTATTTTTCTTTGAGCTTTTTAAGCTAAGCTTAAAGAGTTTACTAATTATAAGTAAATAAGTGAGTTCTTTTTTTTTTTTTTTGGTAAATGTAAGAATTGATTTAAATAATTAATTTTAAAATAAAAAGGTTACGTTTTTTTTTTAAAGAAGTCCATCGACGTCTAGGTGAGAGTTTTTTGGCCCTACCTACATAGATGGGAGTTCGTCTATTAATTGAATGGTGTATTATACAAAGGATTACGACATAAACCAACCAACGTTAGCTTTATATTAACGGATAAATCTATTTGTACATAATATCCTCTACAGAATTGTTTACCCCCTCTCACATGCACGCAGGCCCCGCATGAATAAAAAAATTTCAAGATGTGGTCCCCCGTCCCCACCCTTTATTGTGAGTAGTCGGTAAGAGATTATGTAAAAAAAATTGGTACATGTAGCATGATCCTTATATTAACATCCCGTGTTATCAATAGTTTTTCCACATCTTTCACTAATATCCATTTTTGCTAGATAGTCCATCACAACATTACCTCCTCGAAAGACAGTTATTTAAACATGTTTCACAAAAAGGTTAATTAAAAGTAACTGAACTCTTTCTACATGGTCTTAATAGTGTCTAATAGTGTCTGGTATTCTTCAGTTCACCTATCCAAACCTTCCACAAATGTCCAAATTGGTTATGTTTGACTTAAAATCCATTTCTTTGATTCTTTTGCAGCTGGACATGGCTCCTTTTTGGAAAATCTTGTATCGAGTGCAGTAATTGGAATTCCGATACTTGGTTGTTGTATGATTGGATGTGGATCGATAAGCTTGATCTATGGCTATGTCTTGATCTTTGATTTTCTAAGATGTTTAGGGCACTCCAACGTCGAAATTATTCCCCATCAGTTATTTGAAAGGATCCCATTTCTTAGATATATACTCTCTACCCCAACGTAAGTGATCTAACCTACATAAAAAACTTATATGAAGAAATACATTGCACATACACACGCCACAATATACGTTGATATATATGTATACCTAATCACGTACCATATTGTTGAATCATCTTATTGAAAAACTTCAGTAACGACACACGTAAAAACACATACAAAACTTCATTTATTTGTTTGGAGGTTCGACCTTGATGACTATGTCGTATTGAACAAATAGATGTAAGATAAATCACCTTGCGCATGAGAAAGCCAGTTCAAATTGAATTTATATAAATGTTACAATCTTTCTAGCCACTTATAATTTTAGACAATATTTTCAACATTTGCTCATTTAGTACTTTGGTTAGTAAATTATAGAGTTCCTTTCTAGAGATTAGTTCTCATTCTGTTTTCTTACCGGTGAATATGATGAAATATGCAGATATCACAGCCTGCATCACAAAGAAATGGACACCAATTATTGCCTTTTCATGCCTCTCTTTGATGCATTTGGAAACACTTTGAACATCAAATCGTGGGAGATGCATAAGAAAATTAGTCAAAATTCAGGTAAGCCTATCAAATATCTTGTGATGATCGAGTACTATTCATGGATCCCAAGTGTTCATCATTAATGAAAAAAATGAATGTTCGAAGAACTTTGATTTAGATTTTGATTGTTGCAAAGAAATAAAAATCATTTTAGTCGAGTTATCTGAACTAGAAATTTTGCGACCTAGCATAAATGTGAAGGGGAAGCATGAACTGGCTTGAAAATAGTAGATGGTCAACAAAGAAATATCTCATATGTTAAGTTGTTCAGTTTGTTCGATAGTCATATCCGTCGAACATGCCATTAATGTTCAATAGGGGGTTCTTTTTTACCTTTTATGGTTTAGGTAAACCTCTATATATAAATTGATTGCATGCGTTCATGGAAAATGCAGGTGAAAATGGAAGAATCCCAGATTTTGTATTTCTAGCTCATGTTGTAGACATTTCGTCCGCCATGCACGTGCCTTTCGTATTAAGAACATTAGCATCTCTTCCCTACACTACAAGAATTTACATGCTACCGTTCTGGCCCATATCCTTTGTGATGATGTTAGTGATGTGGGCTAAGTCTAAAACCTTCTTGATCTCATTCTACAACCTTAGGGATCGGCTGCACCAAACGTGGGCTGTACCCCGTTTCGGATTTCAGGTTTGTACTGTGTTTTCTCACTATTTGTTTGATTAAATCAATGAAATTTTAGTAGGTACTGCTGAATTATTTTGGCTGGCTTAAAATTTAATGCTAAACTTGGTTTTATTTTGCAGTATTTCTTACCATTTGCTGCACAAGGCATCAATCAGCACATAGAAGAGGCTATTCTCAGGGCTGATAGATTGGGAGTTAAAGTTATTAGCCTTGCTGCTCTAAATAAGGTTCTCTATCTCTCGGACACACAGACACACTATTTGTCTAATATAACACACACAAATGCAACAACAAAATGCTACTCATCAAGCCATATGTTACTTGTGTAATAAATGTTATTAGTTCATCTGCTAAATGTTAACTATTCCATCTATTGCAGAACGAGGCACTCAATGGAGGTGGGACGCTATTTGTAGATAAGCATCCAAACCTCAAGGTTCGAGTTGTACATGGTAATACCTTAACAGCAGCTGTGATTCTTAATGAGATCCCTGAGGATGTGACTGAAGTGTTTTTGACTGGAGCAACCTCGAAACTCGGAAGAGCAATTGCTCTTTATCTTTGTAGAAAAGGAATCCGAGTTCTGGTAAGCAAAGAATGGTTCAATATTATGTATAACAGGTTGAAAGATATGACTAATTCTTAGAGTGATTAAAGAACTTATTGTACATTCCATACTACAATTTGCTTCCATATGATTGTAATTCGGGTTTACAAACGCTAACGTGCAAGGCATGTAACTTTGCAGATGCTAACTCTATCAACAGAAAGATTTCGAAAGATTCAGAAAGAAGCACCAGTTGATTATCAGAAGTATTTAGTCCAAGTGACTAAGTACCAAGCAGCCCAAAACTGTAAGGTGTGTTGTTCTCCCCTTCAATTTTTCCATAGTAAATTCTTCATTGTTGTTGGCATGTTTCTTTATCGTGTTTCCATTGATGCGACAGAATGCTAATCCCTTTTTGGAAGTAGTTTTCTGTACGCAACATTCTATATAGGTTTTGATTCAAATCACGATTTCAATATTACAGACATGGATAGTTGGCAAGTGGATCACACCAAGAGAGCAAAATTTTGCCCCAGCTAGAACACACTTTCATCAGTTTGTGGTTCCACCTATATTGCAGTTCAGAAGAAACTGCACTTATGGAGATCTTGCAGCCATGAAGCTGCCTGAAGATGTGGAAGGGCTAGGATCTTGTGAAGTAAGAAATCTTAATTTCTCTCCCTATTTCCAGCACATCTTTTACAATGTTAATGTTCGTCCATTCACCTTGTTGAAAATTATAAACTGAATATAATTGAGACAAACAACAAAAAGAACACGAGATCTGTATCTTTTCTATGGAGTGTACAAGTTCATTCATTGTTAGAAGTGTTAAACCAAAGGAATATTGACATAATATTTAATCCCATCGAATATATAGAACCTAAAATTTCAAGTGTAATATCGAGTCATGTCCAATACTGTATACAAGACATTTTTTTGCTAACATTCAAGTTACATAAGAAATTAAGAACAGAAAATTCTATCATACCTTTGATCCATTACATGGATTGAAATCTTCCTCCCAAAATCACTCGAACAAACTTTCCTTCCATGTATATGGTTTCTCCCGAATTGATTCTTTTGTCTAAAATGCATAATCAAAATGTAAACAATCAAAGAAATGACAGCATATAAATTTAATGTATGTGCTTATCTCTTACTAATATTTCTGTCATTTTTCTGATACAGTATACAATGGACAGAGGAGTAGTTCATGCATGCCATGCTGGTGGAGTTGTTCATTCATTAGAAAGCTGGAACCACCATGAAGTTGGAGCTATCGACGTCGATAGAATTGATTTAGTGTGGAAAGCTGCACTCAAACATGGTTTGAAGCCAGTCTCAGCAGATACCAAAAAATAAGTTCAGGAGTTAAAAATCTATTTCCTAAGTTATAAAATATAGTCTTGACTAAATTATTCGTCGCCTAACCGGGTTAGTACCGATTAAACTCAATTCATTTCGAGTTTTCTGAAGAAAAAAAAACACTATATATATATATATGATATGTACAATTCATTTTTTACATCTATATCTATTGGATATTTGTGAAGCTACTTGTCAGAAAGAGAGTGAGGTATACTATTGAAAATTGTTAAGTAATATGTTCTGATATGTAATGGATACTGAAATTCCTTTCCTGTAATGGCAGATTTTTTTTTTGGCCTTATGGATTTATGTTCATGACTGTTGATTCAAATTATTCGGATAACAAAAGCATAGACTTTTCGTTCGGTCACCAAACGTTTATATCCATGACTGTTTTAGAAGTAGTAATGGTTGAATAGATTGTAAAAAAGAATCATATACTCGACTCTAAATTTATTAGGAATAATGTACAGTTTGCGGTTTTTGTAACAAAAGAATCATACCTTATAAAAACTAGCTGCAACGTCGCTTAAATTATGGCTATATTAACTTTTTAAGGGTTGAAACGGAAATTGGCAAGAAAGGACCCAAAGATGCAACAAAAAATACATAAAAAGGCAGAATGATCAAGTAAATAGATCATAGATTAAGTTGCAAAATGTCGGATAAACCAGGTACTAATCCTGCAATTTTATACAAACTGTCGACGAAGATAAAACAAAATAATCACCGCATATGATCAGCCTAATAGTTCACGAAATACTGTTATTTATCATTATGATGATATAATATCGCTGATGTGGCAATTTATGTTAAGTAATAGAATTTGACAATTTAATTTTTATGAGGAAGATAGATATGAGAGGGAAATGTGACGGATAATGATGATGAAATAATGCTATTTATCATCATAATAATAAAATATTGTGTTTCTCATTATTTCTCATATTTTTTTCTCTTATCTCTCTCACAAAAAGTGAACGATCCAACTTTATTATTCACATAAACTGTGACGTTAATATTTCATCATCGTCATAAATAAATAGCATTATTCTTAGTCTAGCAAATACGCGCTCTCACTCAACAATATCTTTGAATTAGAGGAAAGTTTTGTGCCCTTTAAGGTGGAAAATGCCATCATCATCTCACGTATTCTCCGAAACCGAAACCTAGGCAAACCTACGGTCCACATCCCACCACCGCACGGCCGCCGTCAACCACCAGCGCTCGGTCTTTCTTGTGCAAAGCCCAGAAATTTTAATCCAGTGAAGGTCTGATAATCATCAATATGCCATCTATTATTCAAGAAAATCACCTTCACCAACGCACTTTTTTAACTGAGAACCAAAGGAAACTCCTTTTTCTCCTCTTCAAATGCATAATCATGGCACTTGTAGTGGCACTTTTCCTTTTCTTCATTGGCTTCGCTACAATTATTCTTCTCCACTTCCTCATGATGACCAAGGCCTTCCGCCGCCGCTGCATCCGCATCAACCATTTTCTCTTCTCTGGGACCGTGGCGACGACAACGGCCAACTTGCTTGAACTGCAAGATCTCTTGCCCAAAGTTGAGTACAGTGCCTCAGCATCTTCAAAAACCACGGATTGTGCCATCTGCTTGGAATCTTTCATAGAAGGAGACGATTGTAAAATTTTGCCTTCATGTCAGCACTTATTTCATGCAAATTGTGTGGATCAGTGGCTTGGGAGAAAGCTCAATTGCCCCACTTGTCGAACCAGGGTTGATATGGATCTTGCAAAGCAGGGTTCGAGAATCAGTGCTGCTGATCGGTGGAAGATGCTTTGGGAAGTCGGATCCGAAGAAGGGAATTCTTATTAACTTCTGCAGATTTGTAAAGCTATGGACTTTTGAAATTTGTGCCGGAGGTTTTTTGTAAGTATGGAGTTCGTTGTTTGCTTCTTTTCAGTCTTTTTTTTTTCCGTGTTCTTGTGTGTATGTATATATTTTAGAGTTTTGTTATAATATTATAGATTTGAATATCTGTTTCCTTTTACTTAATGTGATAGTTGTTAGAGATTATATATTTTTAGATAATCAAATTGACTAAAGAGAAAAGAGGCAAAGTATCACTACATGATTTGTTGTGTTTCTTTGATATATTTCATAATTAGTATTTGGAAAATTGTATGATGGTTACTGAATTGATAATTTTGCCCAAATGAAAGAACCCTAAATCAAAGCCCCTGATCTTGCAACGATGAAATTAGAAATGAACACCAGGATTTGAAGTTGTTTGGTACATCCACTTGGCTCTAGATGAAGCCCTCTTGCACTATATGAAAAAGAACTCACAGATCAATAATCAGTATGTATCAAGAACGTGAAAAAGACATAATACTCAAACCGGATTTCTATACTACCCAAGAATTAAACAGCCAATCCCACGCTCAATCAAGAGGAAAGCAGAGATCTTTTTTATGTTGAAGAGTAAAAGCCAGTGAGCAGATCTGAAGTTGTGGAAACATTGATGTATATATCGCTGCCAAACAGTAGTCTACCTGTTTTTACGCCCCAAGCCCAGGTGAAATCCTAACCATACCCATGGGTGGAATCCAAGTTTACAATACTCCAGAAGTTTATTAAAAAGCCATCATTCTCCATGTCACCTGAAAACTCTCATTAACGAAAGAGTAATATCCACAAAACGCTTTAGGTAGAAAAAAATACAGAGTGTGTGAAGCACACTTTTAAAAATCGCTTCATGTACTCTATAAACATAGTGCAATTGGGCGTCATCCTTCTTAGCCTTTTATTTACCTTATTATATCCATTGGATGTTGAGTGGTTCAAGGCAGTGTTTATAGCAACAACTTAAACAAATGATATACACTTATTCAGGCTCTAAAATATTGACATTTCATAGTTCTTTAATGAAATTATAACCTAATTTATTATATAATGAGTTATTATATAAAACTCGTTGAATGGAAGTGGAATTGAAAGATAGAAGCGAAAAATCGGCGAAAATAGGCAATATCCAAAGTTTGTGGACTAAAGTGTAAATATTAAAAAGTTATGTTGGACCTCATGATGAAGATTTGAGAATGCTAGGGGTCAATTGGATGCAACTAGAAGTAAAAACGAAGTAAAATGTGATCAAAATATGGACACAAATCAATTTTCAACCGTACAAGTATGTTCCAGATTTTTAGCTCAAGATTTTAACTCATTTTTTACCTGGTAAACGTTCGAATTGAAAAAAAGCTATTTCAAGTGAAGTTGTAGTCCTTTGAGTTATCTTTATAACTCAATTTGAATTGCCCTAATCGGACATTGCGAGAGAAAATTATGATGAAAATATTAAAAGAAGTAAAATACAAATTTTTCACTCGAAAGGTGGCACCACATGGTCTTGAGGCGCTACCAAAATTGCACAATACAGAGTCGCGACACCACTCCCATGGTGTAGAGATTCTGCCTGGATGTATCTAGAGCGCGTTTTTGACTCGTTTTGAAGTCTATACATACAATACAAACATGGGGAGGAGTATAAATACAAGTTTTTCACACTTTTGAGGGGGTTCCACACATTGAGAGATCACGATACAACTTGAGAAATTGAGAGAAAATCAAAAGGGAGAAAAATAAGAAATCATGAGCTACGGTTTGAAATCAAGATTGGAGGCAAGAATAGAACTTGGTGCAAGATTCATCCTCTTTTCTACATTTCAATTCAAAACCCGGTGATGTATTAAATGCAAATCTTTAGTTTTTCTTCTATTATTATGAGTCGCTAAATTTCATATTAGGGCGAACAATGTAAGTTACTTGGGACCCTTTGTTTTTTTTCTTCAGGATCCTTATTATTTTATCATACATCATACATGCGTTGATTTTACTATGAGCTTAATGCATTAAATTACTTGATCACTAATTCGATGTTTTTATGAATCTTTTACGAATCGAGAGGTAAGTTTGAAATTTAGACCATATAGTAAAATTCGATAAATTGGTATAATGTGTAGAGATACCTGTACTAATTATTGCGATCGTTATATGAATTCTTAGAATTAATATTTCGTTTAACTAAAGTTGATTCACATAGAGATATGAGATTGTATTAGTTAAATAGACTCCATGAGAACTCGAGAGATGTAAATTGTATACAATAGAAGAATTCGATCGAACACTACATTAGGTTATGAATCTTGAATTGAGATTTAAAGGTGATCAATTGATGAAATATTTATGCCCTAATATTCGTTCACTATTTGAATTCTAAATTGATCTTTGTGTGCATTTTGCTAATTTCAATTAGTTAGATAAAAAAATATCAACAAATCATAATTCTTTGTTTGTTTTCATCAAATAGGACTTAGAAAAATTAGATAAAGTCTTTAAGTATATTACTCGCGGGAACGATAATTTGGACTCAAATGTCTACTGTATTACATTACTTGTTACGATATCGTACTCTTATGATAGAAAAAAACACAACAACAATCAAAAGAGAAAGAGGCAATATGGTTGCAGGGACTACTAAAAGAGGTTAATGTGCTAAGGAATAAGGCTGTGGTGTTAACTAACAATCAAAGTGCCCATCTACTCATGTAGAAACCCGGTTTTCAATGAGCATCAAAGCATGTGGAGATTAAGATCATTTCATCCGAGAAAAGATCATTGAAGGTGTGGTGGTGGAAAAAACTCCCACTGAAGAGAACCCCTCAGATATGGGATCCAAATTCATTGCCTTCAACAAACTCGAGCATTGCCTTGAGCTCATCAAATTGAGATGAGGTCCACCTCCAAGTTGAGCATTGTCGGTTGGGTTTGACAGTCACTGGGAGGAAGTTTTGGCTAATTATGGAGCAATAGGTAGAGTATGTGATATTTATATTGCCCCAAACTCAATCATGGGTTTTATTAAAAAATTGTATCCTGAGGATTGATGGAGTTGCTGAATTAAAATGTATTTTCTCTTAAGTTGGAAAAATATTGTTTGGCACTTGGACTTTTAGTTAAGTTCGTAGCAAATGAATTGGCACCATGTAGATGGAAGCTAAGAAGCACAAATACTTATAAACTCATTATGTACCCGTATCTAATACGTATTCAAGCTTGGATACTATTTGATACTCTTCTATACATATCGGATACATGCTTTTAATTATTTTATATATTTTTTTATTTTTTGATACGTATCAATATGTATTTTTTAATTATTTTTGATACTTATCTGACACGAAGACACCTAAAAAAGAGTGTTATTGGTGAGTTTGGTTCTATCACTAATTAATATAATATGAATTCAGAAACCTGGTGACTACTTCATAATTCACATGCATCTTTGCTTCAAAGCATTGTTTTGAAACTTCTTGTGCAACCTTCTTCATCTTGTGTCGAAAGAAATTGGAGTACATACTTTTTTTGTACACTATGAGAATGAATAAAATAACTATTCACAACGAGCATTCATAGCAATCTGTAACTTTTATCAAGAAAATTAGATCTCTATTCAAAAGGACAATCCGAAATGTGGGATATTATCGGATACTCATTTGATATTCTTGGAAGTGTTGAACTGTTTGAGATTGCTAATTTATCATTAAATGAATCAGAGTTAAAAGAGTGCTATTTTTTATGATAATGAAAATGCTTAAAGAAAATGAAGTTGAGACAATTAAGGATTAAGATAAAATGTTTCAGTATTTTATTTTATTTTTATTATTATGCTTGTGTTTTAATTTTTAAAATTTTAAAATTTTAATATTTTTTATATTAATGAAATTATTTTGAATTTTATAACGTGTATTTATAT